CCTCAACTCTCTGTTCTTCCATATTTATTTCACTTTAAGACTCAATATAGCTATCATGACAAAGTCATACCTGTGTCTTGCCTCTGTGAGCAACAAAAGTTGGTTCAATAAAAGTTATAAAAGGTTGTGTAGAATCAGGGGAAAAGGCTTCTAGGTAAAGAGCTGTTTTTCTCTATAAGGGAAATCTTGTGTGTATTTCTGTTTGGGGAGGGGCCAGCATAAGAAAAGGGAGTACCCCTGTGGAAGATAGGAAATGTATTTTTTGTTTTTGTTTTTTTCCATTTAAAAAAAACCCTCAGGGCCTAGTCTGCATATATTGCTAATAAACCAATGTGAATAACTGTACTTCCAGAGTAGGACTGATTTACTCCCAGCCCTCCCAACAACCAGAGCCTTGGTGTGATGAAAGAAATGTTGCCACTGTTTCTCACCTGGTATGTTTTGGAGGGATATGTCATACACCCCTTAATATCAGAACATCTTAAAAGAGTCTTCTATGGAAACAAAGAGCAAATATTAAAATGCTAACATGCAAAATATTAATTTTCATTTGGTTTTGATAAGTATACAGTGCTAAAATTATAGGAATTAACTATTTATGTAGAAAGCAATGTAATTCTTTAGTGATTCTTCAAAAGAGAGGACTAAAGTATTTTTCAGCCAGTGGTAAAATTAGAAGAAAGAGTAAATTACATTTGTGTTTTGTCTTTTGTGTTTGTTACAAACAAAGGTTATGAAACTATAAATGCTATCATATAATTTAATTAGGTATAAGCAGTTTAATTTATAGCGCATATCTTTTTAAAAGCTTAAATACATTTGCTGAAAGTTACTCTATTTTACCATTAGGTGTCAGTAGTACCATGGAAACTAAAATAAATGTTATCTCTCGTTAAATATTTTTCTCTTACATGCGATCCTATCATCTGTTTTCAGTTTCTATGAATGGCTGAGGCTACATGCATATTAAATTGGTAGTTGTAGTTTGCAGCCTAATTCAGGGTAAAATCCTTCATAGCATTGATCCCGATTGTCATGTACAGGCAGTCCCCGGGTTACATGGATCCGACTTACATCGGATCCCTACTTACAAACGGGGTGAGGCAACCCTGCGCTAGCTGCTTCCCCCCAGCAGACCAGGGAGACACGAAGCTAGCACCCCCCC